TCTTCTTCTTCTTCTTCTTCTTCTTCTTCTTCTTCTTCTTCTTCTTCTTCTTCTTCTTCTTTTTCTAGGGTTTTTAAGTGGGCCATTAAGTTCCTTGAATGAGCTGTCTCGAATTTCTTCTTGAAGGCACTTAGTGCTATGAACTTTCCTCTTAGCACTGCTTTCGTTGTGCCCCGTAAATTTGAGTATGTTGTGCCTTCATTTTTATCAAATTCTAGGAAGACTTTAATTTCTTTCTTTAATTCTTCCCTGACCCAGCTGTCATTGAATAGTGTTTGTTCAGTTTCCTTGTGTGTCAAGGTTTTTTTTCTATTTCTGTTGTTGTTGAGGTCCAGCGTTAGTCCATGTTGATCAAATAGGATACAAGGGATTATTTCAATCTTCTTGTATTTGCTGAGGCTTGCTTTGTGATCAACAATATGATCTATTTTGGAGAAGGTTCCATGAGGTGCTGAGAAGTTAAATTCTTTTGTGTTTGGGTGAAAAGTTCTGTAGATGTGTGTTAGGGCCATTTGATTCATGACCTCTGTTAGAGTCATTGTTTCTTTGTTTAATTACTGTTTTGTTGACCTGTCCTTTTTTGAGAGTGGGGTATTGAAGTCTCCCACTATTAATATGTGGGGATCTATGTGCAGTTTAAGTTTTTTAATGTTTCTTTTACAAATGTGAGTGTCCTTGTATTTGGGGCATAGATGTTCAGAATTGTGATGTCTTCTTGATGGAATTTTCCTTTGATGAGTATGAAGTGACCTTCCCCATCTCTTTTGAGTAAATTTTGTTGAAAGTTTATTTTATTAGATATTAGAATGGCTACTCTTGCTTGCTTCTTGGGTCCATTTGCTTGGAAAACCATCTTCCAACCTTTTATTCTCAGGTAATGTCTGTTTTTGTGACTTAATCCATCATTTTTACGATAAGAAAAATACAAAAACACAAACCTTGAAGTGAAGACATGTGAAGTACAGACGTTTTGACTCTCCATCTCTGATGTTCTAACTCAGTACTAGTAAGTTCTAACCAGTCTACGGTGACAACCTTGGATACAGAGGTGGTTAGTTTCTTAGCTGATGTCAACTTACCCTTTGAGATATCAGTTTTCCAAAAACTAAACATTGTGGTGTTGCTATAAGTAATCTGGGACCAGAATTTGTAGTCTCCTGTACAACCTCAGCTGCTGCTTCATTTGGATAAGCCCCTTTAGTCTCTGGGACCTGAGCTATTGCCCTGGTTATTTTTGGTAGCAAGAACTTGCCTACATTGATACATTGTGACTTTGCATATCACAGAGGTTTTTTTTTATTAATGTGTGCTAATTATATTAAGATTCATTATAGTATTTCTATAAATGCATGTACATTAATTTTGAAGCAGGATAAGAAGGCAAAGAACGTCTAGGAGATGGGAGACAGGGAAGAGACTTTTCACCCTAGGGCCTCATTTTCATTTCCCTCATGGAGAATCAAAACTATTGCCAAAACTGATACAATTAAAATTCTATCCCTGGTGTGGTGTGATGTAACACACCTATAATCCCATCACAGGGTAGGGGAAGTTAGTAGGATCAAGAGTTCAAGGCCAACCTTAGCTATGTAGTGATCCCAAGACCAAGACCAACCTGGACTACATGACACTCTGTCTCAAAACAAACAAGCAAACAAACAAACAAACAAACACACAGACAAAGAAGAAGAAAGAAAAAAAGATTGTTCATAGAGGGTTTGGGGATGTTACTCAACATCACTGACAGCAAACACACATACACACACACACACACACACACACACAGATAGAGAGACAGAAAGAAACAGAAACAGAGAGCCTACAGAGACAACATTCTCTTTTCTCACAGATATTTCAAACAATGGTGTTGAAAACATAAAAATAATAAAACGGTACTAAGCTTGCTTGGGGGCTGAATTGCTTTGAGTTTTGCATTATCAGGGCTGCTGTCCCATCATTAAACTATGTTATAACTTCATTTAGAAAAACAATTCTAAACCCAGTAGTGTTAGGACACCCTTTAAGCCTTTAACCCCAGCATTGAGAGGCAGAGGCAGGCCTGGTCTACACAGGCCTACACAGAGAAAGCCTGTCTCAAAAAACCAAACCAAACCAAACCAAACCAAACCAAACTAAACCAAACCAAACCAAACAATAGCTTTAAAAAAAATCTTTCTAAATTTATTTATTGTGTGTTTTGTTTGTGCTACATTTTAAGATAAGAGAAATGTGTAATTTTAATTTTTAAGGCTATGTAATATTTACTGCTGAGACACTGATAGAACCCTCTCTCAGCAAGCTCAGCCCCCTCTACCCTGTTTCCCTGTCCATCTTCCTCCCTCCCTCTGTGTCCAAGCTTAACTCCAAAACATCTACTATCTCTTAATGAATTCAATACTTCAGAAATTAGGCGAGCTCCTTCACTCCAACTTGTCCTGAAATTCTCTTCTGTGGCTATCTTCAAGGGCTAGATGCTGGACCTTCCTGGAGGTCCCTGGGGCAGTGCTGGCCATCTCCCAGCTGCTGCTGCTGCTGACCGTGTGATCTCATTCATCCCCATTATTCCTTATTGTCCTCCCTAGCCCCCCTTCCCATTCCCCTTCCACTATCCCAAATGTTTCTCCTACTTTTGTGACCTCATAATGGAGCTCTCGTCAACTCTGACCTGCCCCACAACTGCTACCTATTCTCTCAAATTCAAAAGATGTGAAAAAAAAAAAAAAAAAAGCAATCAGTTTTCTTACTGCCTCTTTTCTTTTAGCTTTCTGTGTTCCCCTCCCCTTTGTTTTCTGAACTTCTTGGGTATATGACAGAAGAAAATAGCAAAGAAACAAGAAGATCTGAATCAAAGATGCTCTGATAGAGAAAGAGCAAGAATCAAGATTTAAAGTATTGCAACATTCAAAGAAGTAGAGAATTCTAGTGGCCCACAGGCAAATTGTGCCCTCAGGGGAGCCTAGATTCTAGAAAAGAGGAGGGAGCAGTCTTGTGAAAGAGGTGAAATAGAGGCTTTTCAGGCTCCCAGGATCCCTTGGAGACTGGGATATTACCCTGGCACAGTTATTAAAGCTGAGTTCTTCAAACTATTTACTCAAAAAGGCCACCTAAGGACAACAATCCACCTGCCTCAAAGAACGCTTGTTTTACAGATCATAGTTTGAGAAAGGCTAGTAATTACTGTCTGGATTTCCAACAAAGAGTAACATCTTTCAGTGATGCCACTTTTATTCATTTAATTTTTGCTTTTCACTGCTTGCAGCTTTTACAAATACGAATGATGCTTTAAAGCACTTAACAAAAGCTATAATTTAATGTCGTTAAAAATAAAGACAATTCAGAATAAGAAAAAGCATTTATTTTAACCTAGGTCTGAAACTTAGGAAGTCCTGGTCCTGGACGGGTTTGCTTGAGAAAGTGGCGGTCCTTTCGAACATAATGTCTAATTTCCTCTGTTTGTACCGAGGGCATTTCTTTCCTTTTTCCTTTTTATATGGGATCACATTGTGACATGTTTAATATTGATGAGTTTGACCTCCTGGGATTTATAATATATGCATCCCCTTTTAAACACAAATGTTGTCTAATTTATATGGTAAACACATAGAATTTTTGGAGATTAGCATTTTAATCAGCTTTAATCTCGGTATTTTCAGCTTCCCCTACCTCCCTGTTCTGTGTCCAGAAATGTCCCACAAACCCACTTTGGAAAAGACGGATAGTGTCCTGTTCTTGAAGAGGCATGTGGGCAGCAGGCGCAGGGAGCTTGGGGAAGCAACCTCTCCTAAGTAGCATGCTCACAGAGCGTGCAAAGTGATGACCAAACATTAAAAAAAAAAAAAAAAAAAAAAAAAAAAAAAAAAAAGACCATTCTGTCTATTCAACAAGTATTTGAACTGGAGCCATACAGAAGTTCTTGCTTTTATTTTTTCTTTCATTCTTTCTTGTTCTTTCTTGTGATTTTTTTTTTTTTTTTTCCCATCGCAGGTCTGCGGGCTTTGAAGTTTCGTGATAATTTCCAACCACCAGTCCTTGCAAAGAGGGCAACATGGTTTATTTTCAAGGTGGAGATTAAAGGGCCAGAGATAACCTGGCAGGAAGATCCCAATTTTGATCTAGTCTGGGCTACTTAGAGACAGTTTCCCTCGTAGCCCTTATCATCACGTCCTAGAGATTCAAACATTTTTTTTTTTTTTTTTCCCGGCTTGGTTGCAGGAGGAGCCAAAGGGGGCACTGAGGGGGCGGCGGCGGTGGGCGGGGAGTCAGGCCAAGGCTGAGTCCTGTGCAGCCATTGGTGGGGAGGGCGCGCTGAACTGAGCATGTTCGCGCCCGCCAGCCAGGGCCGCAGCCACAGCCGCAGGGACGGCAGCCGGGTGAGCCACCGCGCATTATGCAAAGCGGCAGCAGATGTGAGCGGGGCCAGCTGGGCGCTCCTCGGCCTCTCCTCCCAACGGCCGACCCAGCTGCCTGAATTGTCCCAGACACTCCCCTGGCCCTCTCCAGGGCGGAGATGGCCTGAGAACCCCCAAGGCGCGGCGGCGCAGCGGTGGGGTTGAAACATGGGGAACCAGGATGGGAAGCTGAAGAGGAGCTCAGGTGATGCCTCCCACGAAGGCGGCGGCGGCGGCGGCGGCGGAGCGGAGGATGCCGCGGGGCCCAGGGATGCTGAAACCACAAAGAAGGCGAGCGGGAGCAAAAAGGCGCTCGGCAAGCACGGTAAGGGGGGAGGGGGCAGCGGGGACACCGGCAAGAAGAAGAGCAAGTCGGATTCTAGAGCCTCGGTGTTTTCCAACCTGCGGATCAGAAAGAACCTGACCAAGGGGAAAGGTGCCGGTGACTCGCGGGAGGATGTGCTGGACTCGCAGGCCTTGCCGACCGGGGAGCTGGACAGCGCTCACTCCATAGTCACCAAGACCCCGGACCTCAGCCTCTCCGCTGAGGAGACGGGCCTATCGGATACCGAGTGTGCTGACCCTTTCGAGGTGATCCATCCAGGTGGTCCTAGGCCTGCTGAGGCTACTAGGGTAGGGGTCCAGGCGACAGCCGAGGATTTGGAAACTGCGGCAGGAGCGCAAGATGGACAAAGGACCAGTTCTGGTTCGGACACGGACATCTATAGCTTCCACTCGGCTACGGAGCAGGAGGATTTGCTCTCAGACATCCAGCAGGCAATTCGCCTGCAGCAACAGCAGCAGCAGCAGCAGAAGCTGCTGCTCCAGGATTCCGAGGAGCCTGCAGCGCCCCCCACTGCCATCTCTCCTCAGCCTGGTGCCTTTCTGGGCCTGGACCAGTTCTTACTGGGACCTAGTAGCGAGGCTGGAAAGGACACTGAACAGGCACTACCGGTGAGAAGCGACTTGCCTGAGACCGCCAAGTCCCCAGTGCCTGAGAATCCTCCGTCCTCCGGAGGACACTTGGCCTCTGAGACACCCGGATATGCGACCGCCCCCTCCGCAGTCACAGACTCGCTCTCATCACCAGCCTTCACGTTTCCTGAGGCTGGGCCGGGGGAGGGCGCAGCCGGAGCCCCAGTAGCTGGACCCGGGGACACAGATGAGGAGTGCGAGGAAGATGCTTTTGAGGATGCTCCCCGAGGCTCTCCAGGGGAGGAATGGGTCCCAGAGGTGGGAGAAGCCTCTCGGAAGCTGGAGGAAGAGCCAGAGGTGGGGATTCAAGGGCCCAGTGTCTCTGCTGTTGCTTCTTTGCCCGGCAGCCCAGCGCCCAGCCCACGCTGCTTCAAACCTTACCCACTCATCACCCCCTGCTACATCAAGACCACCACCCGGCAGCTCAGCTCGCCCAATCACTCCCCGTCTCAGTCCCCCAACCAGAGTCCTAGGATCAAGAAGCGACCCGAGCCTTCCGTGAGCCGGAGCCCCAGAACTGCCTTGGCCTCTGCGGCGGCCCCAGCAAAAAGACACCGGTTAGAGGGCAGTCTGGCCGGCGGCCTCAGCCGCTCAGCCGACTGGACCGAGGAGCTTGGAGTCCATTCGCCCGGGGCGGGAGGCTCCGTGCACCTGCTGGGCCGCGGGGCTACTGCGGATGACAGTGGTGGCGGGTCCCCTGTGCTGGCCTCCAAGGCACCTGGGGCTCCAGCAACAGCTGATGGCTTTCAGAACGTGTTCACAGGTGAGCGCGTCTTCCACGTATCTCCAGGTGGCAAGTCGCCTGCCAATCAGGGCCTTCCTCTGCCACCCCGCCCCCTCCACGTCCTGAAAGGCCCTGGCCTGCCATTTGGAAATCCTTTTGCCTCCAGGCATGTCTCCTCAGTTAAAAGCCTTGGGTGTGCCTAGTTCTCTGTTCTCTTTTCAGGGTAGTGCAAGGAAAAATGTAGTTCTCCGTCTCAAGTCATCTCAAGAGAGCATTGTTAAGCGCATATGCCCCATGTGCTCTGAGCATATTTTGTGTCTTTTTAACTCAGCCATCTTTCGTGTCATTCTTTTTCCTTCCACATTTTCACAGTGTTGAGAGAACAGAACCGTGCATAGACCTTCCCAAGGCTTTGTATAACAAGCACACGATATTCATTCCAGGACATTCTAGAGGTTACGTCTGAACCCCCCCCCCCCATATACTTCCTATCATGTAGTGGTCTGGGTACCATATAAGTAATTTGTGAAGTCAAGTGATTACCCCTGTTTGCTAATGCAAGAGAGTTTGATATATGCTCTTAGAAGGGGAATAAATAATAGACCGTAAGTAATTTTATGATACTAAGGATAGTTATTTATTTATGATACTAAGTTAGTTATTTTTTTATGATACTAAGGATAGAAACGAAGGCCTTTTGCCTTTCAGGCAAGCACTGTACCACTGAACTAGTCCTCAAACTTTTGAAATACTTTTCATTTTGATAAAAAGGTTTCACTAAGTTGCCTAGGTGGACATTGATACTACCTTGCTGATGTCATTCGGTTTTGTGAATTGGTGGAAATATTAAAGATGGGAAACTGAAAGCACAGGGCTCCCATGGATACTGTCTGTCTTCCCTAGCCTCGTGATAGGTGGACTCTCTGCCATAGGCCACAGCCAGCATCAGCTTCCTGGACTGAAATTCAGTTTGTTTATTTTTTTCTTATAGGTACAAAGCATCACTTGAAAAGTTCACTGCTATTGCCAGTTGGCTCCCTGTTTAACATGTTGATTATTGAAGAAATAATGTTCAAATATAAAGAACAGGGGGAGATGAAGCAGCATTTTATGCCAGTGATGGTGGGTTTCAGATAAATACATGAAAACTTGAATAAACTGGTTATCAGCTATTTGTGTAGCAAGATTCTGTAAACTCAGCACTTGAGAGGCGGGTACAGGAGGTTGGGCAGTTGGATTCTTGGTGGGCTAGAGGCTGTAGTAGCTATTTTTCTTAGGTACATTTATTTCGGTTTATTATTTTTATGTGTTTTGCCTGCATGTATATCATTGCACCATGTCTGTGCAGTGCCTGAAAAGGCCAAGCTAGTCCATCAGATTCCCTGGGACTAGGTTACAGATGACTGTGAGCCACCATGTAGGTGCAGGCCATCTAGCGCAGGTGTTCCCAACTGCTGAGCCAATCCCCAGACCCTTAAGTTCATTTTTAGTTCACTTTTATGATAGTCTTTATTTTGATTTGTAGAATCCTAAGAGTAGCTTTGGTTCACTTTATAGTCTGTTATTATCATTTTCTTTCCTCCGTGTTCTTCACTGTGAAGATTTACCGAAACGGGAAGTTTGTAGTCACGGATCTCCTAGACATAATGTAAAATAAAATTAAACTATTATGAAATGAAAGGTCATATTTTTCACCGATGATGATTGAAAAGTTCTTGGACTAATGTTTTTTGTTGTTTTGATTTGAGCTCAGGCTGGTTTCAGACTTCCTGTGTACTTGAGGATGACCTTGAATGCCTGAATCTCTCTTGCTTCTGCTCCCAAGCTGCTGGGAGTGCAGCTTGTCCTATCAAGCCTGGCTCTTTAGTTGATGTTTTTATGTGTGTGAACTTATTTTGTTTTGTGCTGAGAACAGAACCTAGAGCCTTCCACTTGCTAGTCAAAACCTTTACCAGTGAGCTACAGCCCGATGCACAGACTACTGAATCATGGCACTGGCTTTCCAAATTCTACTAAGAGTAAGGGCAGTACTGACAGGAAGAGAGCATGGGTGCAGCTCTATGGGAAAGCAGTAGCCTAGCATGTAGAAGGGCCTGGGTTTGAGTATCAGTGCTGAAAAGAAGTACAATGTGAAAAAGCTTACCATCTATTCATCTATCATATCTATCTATCAGTCTATCTATCTATCTATTTATCATAATTTACCTATTTATGTATCTATGTTTGTATGTATGTATGTATGTATATCACACTAGTGAAAGACAGTTCCTCAGGGCTTATCAAGTACTGAGGTAATAGAACTTATCAAGAACTGAGGTAATAGAAGTTATTAAAGGAGGATTGAACAAAGTCCTGAAAGACCACAAGACCTTAAATATATTCAGGTTTTATTTCCCTTTTACAAAAAAGTGTTCTTGAGTCTTGGGCATCACTTAATTTTGATAGTATTTTCAAATGTGAAATATGTACCTCTTATAGAAGCTGTTTTGTAGTGAGTTGTAGTGAGTTTTGAGTTTTGTTGGCCTCTTTGGGCAGAAATTTTGCTATTGTGGTCAGTAAAAGTCCAGTCACTTTTGTGTGGCAGTCATCTGCCTTGTGTTGGGTGATTAGATATAGGTGTCAATGGACAGTGGGTAAAGCTTTGTATTTCAGCTTTCATTTATTTATTTTATCCTCTCTGTATTGCCCAGAAAAAGGAATCAATGAGTAGGTTTAACTTAACCTACAATTGGTGGGGAAATAGAGATTAAATAACTCTCCAAGGCCTTGCTATGTGATTAGCTCCAAGGCCAAGCTAGAAGAGGACACTCTCTACTGAGTCACCTTTACTTATTGCTAGTGTTTCTACATTTGGCAGTAAATGATGGTAATTTACAGAGCAGGAATCTTTGAAAAGTCATTACTGGATTTAAAGCTTTAACTGATGAGATTATTCTGGTCTCTGTTAGTAGTGGTTGACTATCTGACCTTGGGATAAATGATTGGTGAATTTTAAGTGAGAGAACGCTGGATTTTTCTTGAGAGCAGCTGTTATGGAGACTATTGTGTCAGAGGATCTCCAGATTGACTCTTTCCTTGGCATCTGAGACTTTTAAAGCTTTACAATCCTCTGTGGTTTTATAGGTATCTTGGAAACTACCAAGGGCTCAGGGAGCACCAGTGTTATCCTTAAGGAACTAAATTTTTGGTTTTAATTGTGGAATTATTTAGATCAGTTAATTTCCAGCTGCCTTCGAATCCAGGAGGGCATTGTATCTCTTTGCCTCCCTCAACATTCTTTATTTTTATAGCTCTGGAGAGAGGGCCAGGCATTTCTCTTTTTTACTGTAAACATAAGGGGAAATCATTCAAACTGATATAGATTTCCATGCCCAAGCTTTTGTCTCTGATGGACGTGAAACCACTTAGCAACGAGGTGGTTTCCTTTTACTTGTGAAGAAATTGGTGGTATTTTAGGGCATTACATTTCAAAATTTCATAGTTAATTTATTTGAAACATGTCTTTTTTCAGGATTTAATAGGAAGAATTTGAGAGGTTTCGTTTTGAAAAGTGGTCTTGGTGTCAAACTCGGGACCTCGTGTATCATAAGCAATTGCTTTATAACTGAATTACATTCCCAGCCTGGTAATAGGGTGCAGTTAATTAAAGTTTGGACATCTAATATATTGAATTTGTGATGCTAAATCACTTTTGATAAGAATCTTTCCAGTCAATTATGCGCTTAATCTGTCTCCCTTTTAAACACATGGAATGGAAGTTCCATCTGCTTTAATAGGCTTTTGCTGTCTTCATACACATCATTGTCCTGTGAAAGCACCAGTGCTTCCCTCAGGAGTGGTTTACATGTGTGGGCCAGAGGCCATGGTCTTCTGTCACTTGAGATTTTGTACCTGTATAGTTTCTTGACTCCTTTTTGGATATCACTTCTCTGTTCTCAGTGCTATCATTATTTGCTTTCCCACTCTCCCAAATTCTTTATCATTTGAGTTTTCTCATTAATTTGGTATTAGCTTGCAAAAGACTCCAATTATGATGTTATTCATATTTATTTCAGGCTCTGGGATGGTGCATTACATAAATACATGTAGTCTTTACCAAGGTTTGAAGTACAGCTGTGCCTTGTCATGTTCTCTGTGAGCAACCAGGGCTCAGACACATCAAGGAACCCAACTAAGAGCATTGAGCTAGTAATCCATCCCCATCTAGGGCATGACTTTAAAAATCCAAAGTAGTTGTTAATGTGTAGAGAACAAAGCCAAGTGGACCCCGGAGCTTCTAAAAGGCTAATTGACAAAGGGCTTACATCTAGGGCTTGAAGTTTGTGACTCTCATTTTGGCTTTCCTAAAGGTAACCTTATTTATCATATTAGTAGGAAGGAGGTGCCACTCTAGGAGTTTGTATTTCTTCACAGGGCTCTTAAGAATATATATTTTTGAGACAGCATTCCATGTACGTAGCCTTGATCACACTAGTAAGGGTAGCTGGCTTTGAACTCCTGACCCTGCTGTCTCCCAAGTGTTAATATAGACAGGTGTCACCCCCCTGCCCCTGCACTTGGCTTCAATATGCAGCTTTTTAAATCATCACACTGAAAAATTTATAGGCTGAATAGTCTGATCGCAGTAGCTCCTGACAGAGAACAGGTGACCAGTTAATACGTGAAATAAATGGGGATGTTTTTGGAACTTGTGCTGTTGAGCTGGGCATGGTAGCGCATTCCTTTAATCCCAGCGCTTGGGAAGCAGGGAGGGCAGATCTCTCTGAGTTCAAAAAATGCCCGCCTGTCAATACAAAAACAAAAGCAGAACAAAACCACCTCCCACCCTAAAGAAAGAAAGATAATTATGTCACTTATCTGAAGGAGTAAACAGGCGTGCCTAGATATTCTCACTGTCAGGTTCCAAACATTAGAAACAATTTGACAAGAGAGCTGTGACTGAGAACATTGTTCCCAAGTCATTTTAGTTTCGTCTGAAAGGTTTTTTAGAACGGTGGCTTGGATCAAAGTGAAATACCCCATTTGCTTCAAGGGTGCAT